GAAATGCTCTTTACTTAGTGTCTGGCTGTCATCCGGGTGCATCCCAAGAACGGTGGCATAAGGATAAAGCTGCCACATCACGCATTCCTTGCTATCACCACAGCTTCTCTCTCGATGAAACAAAATCTTTCCTTGTCTGACAGTTCTGAAAATTAAACAAGAAAACCTCAGCGACGTTGCTGTACTTGGAAGCGCGTGCAAAGCGTGGCAGTCTTCTGAGCAAAACTTTTCCGTTGCCCGCGCTAAAAAGACAAGATGCAAATAACAAATTGGCAAACTTGCATTTCAGAAGATTCTGCGCGTATCTTGAGGGAACAGAAACATTAACACAAGATTGCTGGAAAAACAGATCGAGGATTTAGTTCCATGGAAGATGTGTATGGTCAGCAAAGGCAAGTCCTCTCTCATGAGCTAAAGCAAAGGCAAACTCCAGAAGCCCAGGGAAGGTTTGATGGGGCTCACCCCAAGCATTATTAGCATTGCTCTGGCAGGGTCAGTGGGCAGAGGCATGAGTGGGGTTTGCCCTGCGTGGTGCTCCCCTCAGACAGTTGTCCATGAATTGGTGGTTGGGAAGATCCCAGTTGGTGGTGCAAGGTGTAGCATTAACACCACGCAGCCTACACGGGTGGGGCAGGGAGAAAGGCATGGCCAGACTGCCAGGTGGCTTGAAGTTGAATGAAAGTAGGACCTGGGCAATTTTAAGCCTGGGAATTATGAAAAGAAGCTATTACAGGACTTCATGATGTTAATGTCATTTTTCTGACCAGATAACCCTAGCAAATCCCAACGATGAGTCAATTTTCTATTGTCAGTGCCAGCACAGAGCGACACTAGAGACCACAAGGCAGAGAGAGAAATGCTGAGACAGCCGAATGGAGCCTACAGCCCAGCCTAAACTACTTGTGTGTTTTGTTTTGTTCTTTTAATTCTTAAAAAGAATTAGAAAAGGATGGCAGATTTCACCAGAAGTGAACCAAAACCACAAGGGTCTTTGTCTGTGGATTAAGTGTTTTCAAGAACTAGCAAGAATAAATGTTTTCCTGTTTTCACCGTTTTCTGTACCTTAGGACCAAGCCACATAGGGTATTTGCTGAGACTCCCAACTTTTCTTATTTAGACTCTGTTATTTTAATGAGAACTTGTTTTGCAGAACTGTGCATCCCAGGGAAGGAAATTAAGGTCAGAGATGAGAAAAACCCACCTAAGGGCCTGAAATACTTTCAGTTTCTCAAAGACCACCCTGTGTGGGAATGATAGATTTAAAAATGGGTGGAACCTCTAAGCCTGGAGTTGTATCAAGTTATTCATGAGAAATCTCTGAGATCTTCGTGTGGACCAAGATATTTGGGTGGTACTTTCTCACTCTTTCTTCAGAAGAGGCACTGTGGCCTCACAAACACAAAACTAGCCCTGCTTCTTCTCTGGCTTTAAAAATAACTGTGTATCTTGAAAAGCTGTCTCAGCAACAGTGAAGGAGTGGGGAAAAAAAGTGTATTATATCCCCATGGTTTCATACAATGCGGCTGTGCTAACAGAGTGCGTTGAGACTGAGACCAAAGGAAAGGCACAAAATAGTCCATGAAATTATCAGTTGAATCTAACAGTAAAGCTTCATGCAATGGAGAGATCTGTTGTCCAGGTATCCTATTGCAGATGGGAGAGTTTTGTCTTTTTTTTTTTTTTTTTAAGACGGAAAAAAGTCCAGAATATTAATAAATTCAAGTCCTTTGTATTAATAAAATTTTTACTGAAATCAATGGGAAAGTTGTCTTCTGATAGGAAGTCTACCTTACTTGGAATTAAAATCTTTAAATATTCTTAAATTATATTTGGATTAAATATCCATATTCTATGGGATTAAAAGTTTTAATTTTATTTCTGATTGAATGTTTGTAGGATGATGATCAGATTTGAAAACAACCGGGTCTCTAGACTTACTAAATCAGTTTAAAAAAATTTAAAAATTCAATATTTTGAAAGAAGCAAGCATGCGTCAACATTCAGCCTTCAACAGTCCCTCCTAGGTCTTGGGGTAATTATTAGCAGTACAGAAATAATGGAACGAGTATTGACCAAATGTGATATGCAGTTGCCACAGTAGAGCTATTCCCCTTGCGTTGACTCTAAAGTACAAGTGGTTGGTTTACAACTCTCTTTAGGTTACAACATTTTAACATTTCTTCAGTGTTTATTTATTCTCTTCCCAAAGAATGTTCTGAAATATCGAGTTTACAACCTGTGGCTCATGTGATGGTAGTGGAAACAATTAAGCTAGAAGCTTTCAAAGCCACCACTGGGATTTTGATGCCCAAACTCATTAATTTTAATAAGAAGTGAGCTGCCAGTCGTCTTAAGTGGTTTCTAAAATCTCAACCTATAAAAACACCTCTCTACTGGTTCCAGTTTACTAGGAGCTCAGAGCAAGGTAAACACGTGTAACAAAATAGTAGGTGTTAAAAGGTGGAAAGTATGTGTTCAGATGTCTCTAAGACCATACAAGGAACCAAACGGTGGCCCCAGTCTTGAGCTGGCAGATGTGGGCTGACATGGGGGCTGCTCCTGCCTTCAGCATCTCAGGGAATTACTGACTGATTGGAGCATGAGGCACAGTTTCTTTGGCAAGGAGAAGAAAGTCAATGAAAATCTTGGCAACAGCTCAGTTCCAATCTGATGATCACATTGTTTGTCTACTTTGGGCTCTCACATCTGCTCCATGCTCTTGCCTTCTTAACATGTTTCTGCTCACCACAGCCTTCTGACCAGGGTAGTGCTCTTCTCCCCAGTGATGAATGGCTGAGTTGCTGTTGCAGGAAGACCTGGGTGAATTCACACCACACACGGAAGAGCAGAAGTATCCAGAGCAGTAGCAGAATGTGTCTTTGGGCAGTATCAACCAACTTGTATTTCCATTACTTCAGTGTAAGTGCAGCAAGCAATGAGGCCAGGGCTTTCTTGCCACCCATTGCTGCCTGCTGCTATTGCAGTTACCCACATGGTGTTTGTAGGTGCTTGGTCCAGGTCGTTCCTACCTGCCTAACTCATCTTATCGAAGTTCACACTGTGTTATTTTCCAAGCTGCTAAATGGCTGCGTTTGCATGTGGATACTTCACTGATCCACCGTCATGGTTGGACAAAAATTAAGAATTGTCTGCTGTGGCCTGAGGGACCCACCCAATGCAAACCTGAGAGCCTTTCCTTTTACATGCGTCTGGAGATGGCTTTACTTCAGCCTGTGAGTCTTGAAGGCTTTGGAGAGCACAGAGATCTCTCAAAGAAAGTTGCTGAGCTGGTGAAAACTCATCCTCAACATAAATCATGTAAGAACATCTTTACAGGGGAAAAGTCCAGAACCAGTAGGTATCTCTGTGATGTAAAATAGAACATGGAGTGAATATGAATGAGTTTGAAAAAAGACTCCCAGAGAGTGTGAATGCTTGGAAAAACAGATGAAATATGGTATTTTCATGTGTCTTTTATTGATGAAACCTTGGAGAATTTTAGAATCAGTTTCAACAAGTGTCTGTCCTTTCTGAATCTGTCATATGATCTCTGAAGAGCTTCATTAACATTGGCTATGAGTGACAAAGTTACTGTAGATTTTGCCAGTGAGTCTCCTAGTAGCAACAATTAATTCTCAGTAGCTATTGGAAGGACCTTTGGGTGAAACATGATGCGGTGGAAATAGAGATGACCGTCTTGACTGCGATTGTAATGGACTTTAAAAATATCAAAAAGAAAAAAAGCTGCCATTAGTAGTAGATGTGACTTTTTTGGAAGAGAACAAAGTGTTCCATAAATGAAACATGTGGTTTCACTTGCAGCACATTTTGTACATTGTCACCAATGAAGTTTAGGATTTTTTATTACTTTTTCATTAAAATGTCTTACTGGTTTCACTCAGGAGGCAAAACTTTTCACGTGGCTTTAATTGTTTCTGTCATAAAAGTCATAGCATCCATGTAATAGAAATAGTTTTGCAGACCACAGCTTCATATTGCCTATTAATTCTCTTCCATTTTCTGTACCTACAATTCATTGGGCCATCCCAGAGACAGAAAAAGTTCCTCTCTTGCAATTAAGACCAAACAGGAACTTCTGCTGAAGTTAGGAGAAAAAAAAAAAAAATCACTTTGTGTCACTACTGGTTTGTTAGATTTTTGTTTTAGATATCTTAGTTCACAAATGTAAGTTGACATGGCCGCGTATCAAAGGAGAGAGTTTGTATTGACTTTTTTCCAAAATTAGCAAAACTCTAGAAGATGAAAATGATAAAAGGCCTTTTTCTGCACAGTTCCAGTCAGATGCAAGAAATGGTAATATTTCAAAAAGGAGTGAAGAGCTCTGACACTATGGTTTCAAGGTGGCTTTGGGCAGGTCGTTTTCCCCCTCTTTTGCTTCATTTCTCCATTATACAAAACCTGCTGGAGTTCAGGTCTCCCACTTCCCATCCCAGCAGCCTCGCCGTTAGACCATGCTTCTGTCATCAGTCTGGGCTTCCCTGTCACCACTCCTAACTCGGATCAAGAAGCATAATTATTGTTACAATACAATGACTTGTTTTCCGCAGATTATATCCAAAGTTGAAAAAAAAAAAAAAAGAAGGGAACTAGAGTTACATCATTAATTTAAGATCAGCTTCTGTTAAAGTGTCTATTTTCCTCAGAGAGAGTCACGCTTTTGCCATTTAACCTTCAGCTCAGCAAATGCGGTGACATTGGCCCCTACCTCAGTCTCTAAAGCCTGTAAGAAGTAATTAAAATGCCAGAACACAGCAATAGCATATCAAACTGCCTTTTCCCCTTTTTTCAGGTTTGCGTTTATTTGAAATCTTCCTAGGAAATGCCACTGCTGTCTTTAGTTGCTGCCTCAGACCAAAAGCCTTTCTCCTTGTACAGCTCAGCAGCTACAGCACCCACCAAGTAGCGTACTCCTCCGCTTTCACTTTTCTTAGCACAATCCCTCACTTATTCATCAAATGTTTAAATGTTGTGTTTTGCAGTTCAAGGATGACAAAGACAAGCCCAGCCTTGGAAGGGTCCTCAGCAACAGCCCTGCCCGCTGTCCAGCTTTCTGAGCAGGTCCCACTGACGTCTCCTTCCCTGAAGCCCCTGCAGATGGACGAAGAAGACAGCCTGTCTCCTCACCTCCTGTTGCCAGATAGCATCAGCCAGCTGGAAGAGTTTGGCAGGCAGAAGAAATGGCACAAGAAGCAGCACAAACACCATCGCCAGAGGCAGTTCAATGACCTCTGGGTTCGGATAGAAGACAGGTGAGTCATAACTTTTATGGTCCCTGTCCCCTTCCTGCTGTTTCCTAACTAGTTGCTCTTTACAGATCCTGGTTCTTGTTGATTATACCATAAGGAGGGCTGGAGAAAGGCTAAACGGGCAAGACAGGGAGTGACGTGATGTTTTTGGAGCCTAATGAAGAATTAGGAGGAAGGCTCATAGGCATGTTTGATCTAGAAAAGAGAAAAAAAGCTAATGCTTAGAATATTTAAAATATGCAGAAACAAAGACTTGTCAGAGTAAAACCTGGAAAAAATGACAATGGAAAATATTCCGTGTTTGCCCTCTTTCTTCCAATAATTGTTTTCCAATCTTTACTGTCAGTTTTCAGCCCAAAGACTCGCCTGGTTTCCAACCATGCAGAATATTCCTGGGAGTTTTGAAGATTCTGACATATCTTTCAATCTTCTTAACTATGTTCTGGGGCTAAAATGTTTTAACATCTCAGACTGCATTGAAAACAGCAAGCTGAAGCAAAATGAAGTACTTAACTAAGGCCTCTATACGAAGAGAGTGGAGCTGGGCACATTTCCGTGGCCATTCCAGTCTTGATCTGAGGTTAAAAACTCCCATTCAGTGTTTGAATAAGAGCCTTCCTGTTTGGCCAGGGTGTCTCGATGTGTTCTTTTAGGATTCCTGGGCAATTTATTCTCCCACCGCTAAAATTGGGAAAGCTCTTAGTGCCTTTATCCAGGCCAAGTCGTGGACAGGTACACAGACACAATGTTTATAATCTCCTAACAAGTAAAAGGAATAAAATAACCTGTTGGCAACTGGCTGCTCGCCTATACATGTAATGATTTTCTTTGAGCATTACTCTTATTCCCCTTTTCATAGCACCTGAATTCCTTGCAAGTGAAATGACTCAAGAGTCTCTCAGAAGCTTCTCCCTTTTCTAAGGAAAAAACTTCACGTATTTGTGTTTTGGGAATTTTTATTATTATTATTCATTCTTTTTAATGGAGCGGTTGCCTCATTTTTTTGATAGTTTATTGTATTCTCAGGGTGAGTGATGTAAGGGTTGTTGTTAAGGTGATACCTACCAGTCTTAACGTAGTAAGGTTATTTCTGAGGTTAATGCCAGCTTTGGTAAGGAGGATTCGTGTGTTTTGTTCTCCAAGTGTGTTAAGTGATTGGATCCTCTCTGCAGAGGATGTTTAAGCATGAACTAAGAGACATTTGATTCAACATAGTCGATCGCCTCAAGGACAAGGGACTTTTCTTTCTTTCTTCTGCCTGGGGGCTGCCACGTTGTGGTGTCCCATGATGACCCAGCATTTCACAAGGGTGTCTGGTCCAGGTCAGCATATGTGTCATACAAGTGAGGTGCTTAAAATAGATCTGGTGGCAGCCTGACAGGCACAATCCCCCTGCCCCCATCCTATCTATCCAGAAAGGATATTGGATATTGGGCCTGATAACAGCTGTGGAAATGTGCAGCTGGGGCTTAAAGCAGTGGTGCTTGCATAGCTTTGGCAGACTTCTTTGCCTTTTGCTGTTTTTGTTTCAGTAAGAAATGTTCCCCAGGTGAGAGTTAAATTATTCGCTCTGTGCTCCTGTGAGAGTTCATCTGAATCAAAACCTTTTATCCCTCTACTTCCATTTCATAAGGATGGAGATTGGGATGAGGAAATGTAAGTTTCCACTCCCACCACGCTGGTGATGAACCAGACGCTGTGTGTCGCCTGCCTTGCTGAAAGATCCCAGGGAGATATTAGGGGGAGATCACAGCCCTAGAAATGAGGAAAGGCTGGAAGAAGGGAAGTCTGACTTAGTGCTTTCAGATGGTTTTAGTGCTTCTACAGTTCTGGAGTAACTTCTGGTGTTTTCCTGGAAACGAAACAAAACAAAAAATACAAACAGTTCAGCTAAATCAGAGATTCACAACCAGCTCTGATTTCCGCATAAATTGGATGGGGTCTCAACTTTCATAAACCAGCTGCTGCTTATTGTGCTTTTGGCAGTTGGGTTTCATCAGCATTAATTGCAAGCTGGACCTTGCACAAGGCAATAAACAGCGAGTTCTCTCTAACTGATTCCTTTCTGATTGGCAAGAAAAGAGCAGAAATGTGTGCCTGTCACCAGACTTCATAGCGTGATCGGTCTTGGGAGGAAACAGCTAAGATGGCTGAAAATATGGGCAATGGAGTGTTATCTGTGCAGGAAGCATGTGAACTTACGTTGTGTTGCCTCAACAATGTTCACCAGCACTCAACAGTGAGACTGTTAGCACTCAGTTTTGGAGGATAATCGGTGTACTAGAAGTTCACACTCTGGCCTGTCCCATAGACCCTTTGTGCATTTGCATATACTTAAATTGGAGCCCCTCCGTGTTCTATGTGAACTGAAGTCTCTGCATATAGTATTACCTTGAGCTATGGCCTCATATTTCTGAATGGTTCTTGTTCCAGTTTGAGTTTCCTAACTCACCTGTTGTCACCTAAAACTTGACTTGTTCACCTTTGAGACGAAGTAGAGGGATTTAGGTCATTGTTGTGGCTTTTGGGTGAAAGCCACATGAAACTCATTGTTTCCATGTGATATCTCCAGAATTCAGATGTTTGAGCTGCCTATCAACCTGAAAAGTCAGAGAGAGATATACAGGTGGAGGACAAATCCAGGCAAATTTAAACCAGATTACTGATTCTTGTATGAACGTCATTGAACTGTCAAATGACTGTGGTTCTAACAGCTCTTTTCCAAATCTTTATTGACTGTAGGTTAGAGGACTTTATGAGCCATGAGTTGCAGGGCTTTTAGGGACTATGCATTTCTAGGCTATCTCATACACTTCCATGGAAATCTTGGGGTGTTTTTTTAAGCTACCAACACAGAAACAAAGGAAATGAACACAGGAGAACAATCTTAAAGGAACATCAAAGGTCTGACTTCAACCTATAAAAGCCAGGAAATCCGTAATTAATGGTTCCACTAAGACTTCAGGTCACACAGTCGTTCTGGTCTGATCTGAGGTTATAGCTACAATCTGAAATGGCCTCGTGAAAAATGAGTCATCATTTAATGTCACACATCATTATTAGTATTTACTTTCACTTATACCTTGGAGATCGTCCTTTCCTTTTTCTTCTGTCTTAACAGCTGAGGCATTTGAGTTGACAGCCCTGAGCGGATGATGTTTAGATTTGTGTGTTGGGGGGTTAGTACCGCTGTGGAGGATGAGAAAGCTTCTGCTCTGTCTTCTCCCTGTCTTTGACAGAGCTAAGATTTGCTGGTCTCCAGGGTAATCGGCTACACTGAAGGCTATTAAAAAATAAAAAATGCTGATGAAATGTGTGGTTTCCTCTCCCTTCTGCCTCCTTCCCCCAAAATCTAAACAGAATGAAAAAGTCCTGCCTGGCTGCAGTTTGTGTTTGAAGTTGTTCATCAAGAATCAAAACTAAATGGAGATTTCGAATAGTGGGATTTTTTTCTTTAACTACTTGATTTTGCAGAAATGTGCAGCTCTGAAGTCTGCCTTTGGGAGGAATTTGAACTTAAACCAAACTTAAACCCTAGCTAGCTCCTTTAGCCAAAAGCCAGCTGGGGCAGCAGGGAGGGGAGGCAAAACTCCTGGGCTGGAAGGCTGCAGTCTGGCATACAGTGTGTTATTGTTCCTGTTGACACTGTGTTAGCTAAGCTTCCCCTTGTAATATATATAATTAATTACAGATCATTCACTAGCTCTTCACAATGAGCTCTTCAGTAAATTGAAAGAATAAAGAAATGTCTGTGACGTTTCAGAGAAGTCAGTGAAGGCCAGATCAGGATCACACCTTCGTTCTAGCAGGCAAACAGTTTAAGGCTATAAAGAAAACCCACCCAAGACAACAGAGAACCTCTTCCAGCTGGTCCAGAGGAGCGTTACAGCTCCTGGGGAAAAGGGAGAGATGGAGGGTAGTTAGTAGCTGGCAGGGTGTTTTGGGAGGTGTGAAGTTTGGAAGGAGCAATGGCAGCTGGGAGGTGGGAAAGAGAGAAATACAGTGGTGAGAAGAAAGAATTAGAGAGGATGTTAGGGGTGAATTCAGAGGTTTGTTCCTACTGCCGAGGAGATCTGGGTGAAGATAGTGTTTGGGAAAACACTGAGGACACACTGATGCTTTGCTTGCACAGGAAAGAAATGAAAGGAAGAGAATTGTTATCAGAAGAGAAGAGAAGAAATTCTTGTCCCAAATGTAAGCTCAGCCCTGCAAAACCTGCCATTAGTGGGAAATGAAATGAATTCCCCCTGTAATTGGAAATGGCACTTCTCTGATAGCCTAGTGCTGACTATTCAACCCCAGGTGAATGCAATAACATCACAAATATCAATTTCTTTTGGAAGCAACAGTTATTTTAGGCCAAAAAAAAAAAAAGTTATGCCAGTGATGGATGAAGGGAGACAATGTATAATAAACTTCACTAAGTGCGCCTGTACAGAGGGAACCTTATCAGTTTGGATGGAATTTAAGCACTTAGCCTGTTATCCTTTCTTTCAAGACAATGCAGTGATAGAAAACAGAACTCTGTCAACTCAGACAAACTTTTAATTTCACTTAACTGCATCTGAAAGGTAAATTTCAGTAAATGAATCCAAATTGCTTCCTTTTCACAACACACGGTGCTGAAATACAGTACTTAACTTCATTAAAGAAAAGGCTGCTTTTCTTTAGAGGAGACCTAGACACTTTTGAAGTCTAACAGGTAAATTGTGGTCAGATGATTTCCCTCCATATGGTAGCTTTGAGCTTGAAACTTCCATCACTGGGGCCTTGTTTGTTTAAATTACTCTATCCACCTCCCTGGTAAGGATACTGCTCGGAGAGTGAATACCTACTGATGCTCATGGGGAGGGGGGATCACTCCCTCCTCCAGCCTGTCTCCGTTCAGCCGAGTAAGCTGTTGTCACCATTGCATTTATTTGCCCTGTGTTCAACTGAGGATGAGGATGCAGCTTCAGGACCTTTCTAACTTGTTATAGAGAACCTGACTCCCAAAGGGATCG